ACGATCACTTGAGTTCAAGAGTTCAAAACCAGCCCTGGAAACACAATGAGACCCAATCTCTACAAAAATTCTTAAAAATTAGCCAGGAGTGGCCGGGTACAGTGGCTCAGGCCTGTAATCCCAGCACTTTGGGAGGAAGGGGCGGGTGGATCACGAGGTCAGGAGGTCGAGGCCATCGTGGCTAACACGGTGAAACCCTGTCTCTACTAAAAATACAAAAAAATTAGCCGGGCATGGTGGCAGGTGCCTGTAGTCCCAGCTACTCAGGAGGCTGAGGCAGGAGAATGGCGTGAACTCGGGAGGTGGAGCTTGCAGTGAGCCGAGATCACGCCACTGCACTCCAGCCTGGGCGATAAAGCTAGACTCCGTCTTAAAAAAATATATATATATATGTATATAGCAGGAAGTGGTGGTGCACACCTATATTCCCAGCTATTCAGGAGGCTGAAGTAGGAGGATCATTGAGCCTGGGAGGTCAAGGTTGCAGTCAGCTGTTGTTGTCCCACTGTACAACAGCCTGAGCAACAGAGTGAGATCCTGTCTCAGGAAAGCAAACACACACACACATACAAAAGCGTATGGCCCAGATCTGACCTCAGCAGCCTGGCTTTTAATCGGGAGGCTGTACTGCACATGTGGGGCTTGGTGTGCAATGCCCTTAGGCTGGCTGTGTTCACAGGAGTGGGTCCTCAGCCCCCTCTCTCTGGGGCTGTGCCCACCATCTGAGATGATTCCTGCCAACTGCTGGGAGTATGAACAGCCCTGCCCACCTACTGTGGTGAGACAATGGCTACAGCGGGGAGCAGCTGCTGTCTTGTGCGCCACCTTTTTTTTTTTTTGAGACAAGAGTCTCACTCTTGTTGCCCAGGCTGCAGTGATCTTGGCTTACTGTAACCTCCGCCTCCCGGGTTCAAGCAATTCTCCTGCCTCAGCATCCTGAGTACCTGGGACTACAGGCGCCTGCCACCACACCCAGCTAATTCTGTATTTTTAGTAGAGTTGGGGTTTCGCCATGTTGGCCAGGCTGGTCTCGAACTCCTGACTGCAGTGATCCACCCACCTAGGCCTCCCAAAGTGCTGGGATTACAGGAGTGAGCCACTGCGACTGGCCATGTGTGCAGCCTCTTGATTCCACAGAGATGTTTCTGTCTGGGCAACGCCAGGGTCATATCCACCTCTCCAGTGCATCCCTGCCCCCTGAGATCTGAGCTGAGGCATCTCCAACAGCCTGTAGGTAATGCATGTGTGTGCACACACACTTGTGCAGGTGTGCCCTCAGCATACACGTTGGCGTGTGCACTTCGTGAGTCCTCAGTCTTTAGGATCCCAGTTAGGGTCTCTAGAGTCCCGCGTTTTCAGCACCATTCCCGAAAGGGGGGATATTATTATGTGGGTATCTTCCTTTTTGTGCTTTGAAGACACAGCCTCCCCCAAGAATGCTCTCCTGTTACCAGAAGTGCCCAAGATCAGCTTCAATCACCATTCAGATGGTGACTTCCAGGGCCACCGCTGTGTGGCAGTGACTTGAGAAATCATCAACTCCTCAATGGACTTGCTGGCTTAAGAGAAAAACACTGTGTTTCAGATCTGCTCTGCTGTGTCAGTGGCATTCCCTGAATATTCTTTCCTGTTCCATATGCTAACTCATCCCTTCCCAATGGCAAGGCCAATTTCTGTACTCATTGGCCTGGAATAACCAATGACATAAAAGGTAGGTCGGGTGCGGTGGCTAATGCCTGTAATCCCAGCACTTTGGGAGGCTGAAGCAGGGAGATCACTTAAGGTCAGGAGTTCGAGACCAGCCTGGCCAACAGGGTGAAACCCTGACTCCACTAAAAATACAAAAATTAGCCAGGCATGGTGGTGCACACCTATAGCCCAAGCTACTCAGGAGGCTGAGGCAGGAGACTCACTTAAACCTGGGAAGTGGAGGTTGCAGTGAGGGGAGATCACACCACTGTACTCCAGCCTAGGTGACACAGTGAGACTCCATCTCAAAAAAAAAACAAAAACAAAAAGGCAACTATGATACCATAGCTGGGTTCAGTGAAATCTTTCTTACTGGAAGATGAAAGGCCTGAATACCGCTCCCAGATGTTAACAGCTCTTAGGAAGCCTTTGGAGGAGAGAGCTAGGGGAAATCCCACTGCAGCGGCATGGCCCTGCTCCCCACGACCTGCCTCCCATTCCACAGGCAAACTGCTAGGAAAAGGAGAGTATGAAATTAGCATCTGCGGCTGTGCACGGTGGCTCATGTCTGTAATCCCAGGACTTTGCGAGGCCGAGGCGGGCGGATCACGAGGTCGGGAGATTGAGACCATCCTGGCTAACACTGAAACCCTGTCTCCACCAAAAATACAAAAAAGTAGCCGGGTGAGAGGCTGAGGCAGGAGAATCGCTTGAACCCGGGAGGTGGAGCTTGCAGTGTGTCAAGATGGCACCACTGCACTCCAGCCTGGGCGACAGAGCAAGACTCCATCTCAAAAAACAAAAACAAAAAAACAAACAACAAAAAAAGAAATTAGCATATAAATATGGCATGCGCTTACATGTTCACAATATTGCCACACAAACTTTCTCAAGAGAGCTAAAAAGTCTAACAACAAGAAAAAGGCCGGGCACAGTGGCTCACACCTGTAATCTCATTACTTTGGGAGGCCGAGCCGGGTGAATCACCTGAGGTCAGGAGTTCAAGACCAACCTCACCAACATGGTGAAACACTGTCTCTACTAAAAATACAAAAAGTAGGCAAGTGTAGTGGCACACACCTATAATCCCAGCTACTCAGGAGGCTGAGGCAAGAGAATCACTAGAATCCAG